GGCTCTCATGGCGTTCTGTCTCTGCTCCCCAAGGGCTTCCCCTTGACTTAAGAGGCCCCCCACTCCTTGCCAGCCACACCCCTTTTCCCTCTGTGCACCTACCCTGTGTAAAGGGGCCACAGTGGAGGCATTAGAAGGAGAGGTTGGGCTATTTCACTCTAGGGTGTGAGTGGCTGGAGAATATACAGCCTTCTGGGTTTTTCTATCTGGATCTTGATGTTAAAGGGACAAAACTCTGTCCGTCACTCAAACAAGGACTCAAAGCAGGCCCTGGCCTTATGTCCAGTGATTCCATAAATAACAAATCCTTTCAAGAAACCAGACAGGCAGCTGTCTGAGGTTCTTGTATGCCGCTGCCTCTGCTTGGGAGGTCTGAGGTGGTAGTCTCCAGGAGTTAAGAGCCACTGCAGATCCTAAGATTATGGGACTGGGCCGGTGGCCACACCTATAATAGCCGGACGACTGTACCTCGGACCCCACCAAGATGCTCAGAGAAGCTCTCCCCATATCAACCAAGCTCAGAACCTGTGTCAGCCCCTTCCCGGCCATGCCGCCATCCCAGCCATTAGTGGTGACAGTGAGAGGAAGATGAGACCTGTTAGAGAGAAAGCCACAGCCATTCATTTCTGCCGGAAGGAACAGACCAGAAAGGCACGGGTTAGTCCAGAGGAAGGGGTAGTTCAAGGGAGCCGGCCAAAGCCAGGCCAGGAACCTGGACCCTCCCCTCCCCTCCCGCCCCCCCCCACAATGGGCAGGGCTGGCTGTTAGTGGTCAGCCCCTGGGCAGCCGTGGAGAGGCAGGGATTAGCTGGGTAAAAGCTAGAGTTAGTGCAGAGAAGCTGGAGATTAGCCCAGAGAGGCCTTGAGCCTACTGGAGGTGAGGCATGAAATCACCCCCAGGTGTGGCCCTGGCTTAGCAGCTGGCGGGCTCTGGGGGAGGCTGGCTGGGGCCGAGGCATGGGCATCCAGCGGACAAAATATAAACAGCTGGTATGGCTCCCCCCAGTGGCCTTTGAGCCCCTAGGATTCACGTCCCGGCACCTATTCCCCCTTTCAGTAAGGCCCCAACGGCCTGTAGAGACACTTCCCCATCTGGCCGTCTGTCCTTTCTAAGCGTGAGGCCGCCAAATCTTTCTAAACACTTCCTGAGGGGAAATATCCTCACACCTTCTTCCTGTGTGAAAATGGTCCCGCATCTACTTCCAGATTGAGATTTCCACCCCCTCTCCATGGGAAGGGCAGCTCTAGCTAACTGCCTGTGTGAAGACCCCTCTCCCTGGTCATTGGCCATCTCTCCTCACAGTGTCCAGGTGCCGTTTCCTCGGCCTTCGCTTGGGGAATGCCTGACTCTGTTCTGCGGTTTTCCAGGGAAAGGCCCCTTCACATACTTCCTACTCAGGAAGCTCACGTACAGCTTCCAAGTAGGGCATGGGACTCTGTTGGCTTCAGGTTCAAGCACACACACCCTTGAGCTCCTGTTCAAGATGGCCAGCCCCTGGGGTCCCTACCCCTTTCTCCCTGGCCTAAATGACAGAGGGCCTAGGCTAATTAAGGCCCAGAATTGCCCACTCTAGACCCCCGGGCCCCACACTGGCTCCCACAAGATCCCCTGGTCCCATCCACTCCTGGTGGCAACCAGACCCGTGCACAGAGGAGCGAGGTCATGCTCGGAGTCCAGAGTCCCACAGCTACAGGACAGCCTCCTCCTCCTCCTCTGGGCATCACTAACATGGCTGTCCCCTGCCTCAGACCTGGCCTGGTCAGCCTGAGGGGACATCTGTTTGCCAGAAGGAGGGACCAGCCCCCGGGAGGCCCAGAGCTCGGCAGGGCTGGATTAGTTAGAGAAACCGGTTAGTAGGGCCGGGTTAGTAGGTCAGCGCACAGCACCAGCAGACGGGGCACCTCAGCGAACACACACAGGAGCCACTAGGAGAGAAGAAGGCAGCGGGGCCGTTGTTAGTTAAGGGGCGGCAGGGTGCGGGTGGGGTGCCCCGGGGTTAGACAATTAGTAATCAAAAGAGCTTGCCTATGGGAGAGAAAGCTGGGGGGGGGGGGAGACAGGAAGAGACGGTTAAGGGTTCAAAGCACATGTCTGCCCCAGGCAGAAGGGTCTGTGTGCAGAGCACCCGCGATCAGGGGATGGACGGAATCACCGAGGTCCCTGCAGCCTGCCCTCACCCAGTCTTTTTCCATTTTGAGGTCCCTGCAGCGCAGCAAAGCCTTGGTTGCCCCACCACAGGCATCGAGGGGAGTAGAAGGGATCCCATCCCACCACAGGGAGCAGGGGGGGGGGAGCAGCTCGGAGGGAGAGGGGCAGGTGACTGGCACACAGTCTCTAGTGGTGGCAGAGTTGGTAAGTCTCCCAGCACGCCCTTGCCCTGCAGGATGGGTCTGCACATAGATCCCAGGCCCCAGGCAGGGCCTTCCGGAGCCTCGTCCGCCCCGGCCTCTGGGAAGGCCCCTGGGCTGCGGAGTTAGTGGGGTTTGGGCTGCCGCAGGGTTAGTAGGACATGCTCGGGCCAGGTTAGTGGATTAGTCATCTGACAGAAGGCCAGGCATCTCGTCGCGTGCCGCAGCGTCCTGGCCGAGCCCTGGGTTGGTTAGTAGGTTAATCACACCATGCAGCCCTCCCCTTTCATTTCCCCACCACCACCACAGTCCTGTCCCCACCAGCTTGGGCATGAGGGCCTGACCACGGCAGGGGGTCTGCCTCTGCACCCCTCAACACCCTCCCAGGGAATCAAGCCTGACCTCAAATGGCCCCTGGTGGAAGCCCAGAGCTTCCGTTTCTCTGTTGTGGATCTCAGAGCCCCCACAGACACTCCAGCACTGCTGAAGAGGTGTCCTGCTTGTTCTCAGTGCAAACCCCCTGCCTGACTGTGGCCAGCCCCTTCCCAGAAGGATCTTCTCACACACACACCAACACACACGCGCGCGCGCGCACACACACAAGCACACGCACACGCTTGCACACCCACACACCCACGCACTCGCATCTCTCCACCAAACATCTAACCCACCCACCCCAGAGCTGCCATGCTTGAAAATGGGCACCTCTTCTATCGCCAACTCCCAGGCTTCTCTTCTCACTGCTCCCACCGCTGGCCTGGCCTGCCTTCCTCCACAAACACTGCAAGGAACCAGCCTGAGTCCTCACATGAAGCTTAGACTCCTCCCCACCCCCACCCCACCCCCATTCCCCTTCCTTCCCAGGCACCCCAAGCCGCCCGCCCGGGGATGGCCTGGCTGTACCACCTATCACTCCTGGCACTCCTAAGGACCAACCTGTGATCCCTAGCATTCTAGACAGTGTTCGGTAAGAAAATAATTCCGCAGCCAGCGACGACAGGGAACCACTTCCTCCTTCTATCCCTCCCTGAGTGTCTGAAGTATGCTCACTAGCATTGTCGGGGCTCTGAAAATGTCCTGCTTTTACCTTTCTCATCCCCCCAAGGCCCTGGCTGGGTCAGCCTGACTAGGAAGCCTCTCCGGAGAGCCAGAACTGGGGTCTCCCTCGCACGCACTCCGGGGCCTCTGCTGACTGCCCGTTGTGTACTTCTTCCTGGGTAATGTTTCCCTCCCCGCTGGCTAGGAAATCCCAAGTGTCTGAAGGACGGCTGGACTGCACCGGGTTCCCAAACTGGCTCCCAGCCAAGAGCCAGAGTGGACTCCATATTGGCAGCAGGAAACATGACTCCTTCTCTTCCGGAAAACATGGTAAGCTACCACAGAGGCCAATGGCGGCCGCAGCCCCCGGCTTGTCAGGAAGGCAGGCGAGGGTGGCCCAGCCAGGAACACCCCGGATCAGTAAGCACCCTACCTAGATGCACGCTCACCCTAACCTCCCTAAATTCCCACGTGGACTAAGAGCCCAGGACTGAGCCAGGCACTGAAGCCCTGTGAAAGCTGCCCGGGGGCCCCCAGAAGAGCAGACGGCCCACACGACAAAGTAGAAATCAAGGCGACTTGGACAGCAGAGGGTGCCCCAGGGCCTGCGCTGGCGCTGCACTGGCTGCAGCCACCGTGTTCCCAAGTTCCCTGGCACAGCACCTGCAACTCTGTGCCCATTTTACATTCATCTGCTCCTCCCTGCGTGGGCAATTCTGGAGGACAGATGGCCCTAGCTGTTCATGTTTGTGGGACCACCCCATTAAGGAGTCCAAATTGTGTCCCCCAAGAGGCACAGGCTGAACTCCCCAGCCGCTATGGGAAGGTATGGAAGAGACAAGACCATCAAGGGTGTACCTACGCCCCGATGAGGTCATAAGCCTGAATGACAAGACTGTGCCCTTGTGGGACAAATCCCTGGAGCCCACTCACTCTGGATGCAGAGATAGGCCACGCAACATAAAGCTGCTTCTGGCACTTGCTCTGCTGGCCTCAAGCCCAGGGGAGGTGAAGGGGGGGGGCGTGAGTCTCTGGTTCTGAGTCCCACAGTCTGAGCTGATAAATACACAACCCTTCCCGCGCCAGGGAAAGGACTTTCTAGGTTGTACCAAAGAAGACCACACACTGTAAAACCATCTCCTCCAGGAGGGACTGTGACCAAAAGTGGACAATGGACAGGGCAGGGGGGGGGTGTCATCCTGGGGCACTTCACCCGGAGCAGGGGTGCAGATGTCTGACAGCCCCAGCCCCTCCACAGACACTCAACACGAATGGGGGTGCTGGCTGAGTAGCCCCGTGTCCCGGGCAAAGGCTCCGTCCACAGCCCCTGCGGACTAGGGGCAGCCCACTCTCTAGTGACTGAGGAAGCTGGAGCTGTGAGTCTGCCAATAAGCCTCCCGACTGGGTCTCCATATCTCGGGACTCCCCCTTTCTCTTCCCAGGGTCCCCTGCTGTGCTGGACTGCACAAAGGCTAGCCAGGCTCCTCCCAGGCCAGGATTGGCTGTCCACCACAACCAACCAGGAGCTAAGCCTCACCCAGGAAGCCCCCAACAGAACCATCACTCAAGCAGCACACAGACCGGAAGAAGAAAAACAGACAAAAGACAGACACCGGCTCCTCCCCAGCTCCTCCTCCTCCTCCATGCCCATGGAGTCCCTGCCCTACCCACAGGTCCTTAGGAAGGGGCTCAGGTGGGGCTCCACCCCACCTCCAGACACTGGAGGAGGATTCCAGTCCACATGGGATCAGGAGAGGCCTCCAATGCCCCAGGACTCTACACTGCAGCCTCTGCCACCCTGCATCTGTCCATCAAAAACAGGGTGGATGGATGCTAAGCAGTGTTATCTATCTTCAAGGTGTGGCTCTTCTCCAGGGGGCTCCATCTCTGGCACTGGCAAGGACAGGATCTTCAGGGAGACAGGTTGTTCCCCAGTTCCATGAGGTCAGAATCCAGGGGATCCCCAGGGCTCCAAAGCAGACCAAGGTCTGGAGACACGCAGAACTATCTGAGGGAGACACAATGAAAGACGGTGAGGCACCCCAGATACCCCAATCTGCGACCTGTGCTTCCAACACACACATGTGCCAGAACAGAAAGCTTGGGACACAGATCTTCTACAATAAACTCAGAGAGGAAGGTGGGGTTCACTCAAAGGATCAGCAGAAAGCCAATGGCAGGTGGCCCAGAGTGACTCCCGAAGGCCAGGGGCCGAGAAGCGGCCAAGTGCAGGAGGAGAGAGACCCCAGAGTCCCCAGTGGTCTGAGATGAAACCCTATGTACACCCCACCACAGACGGACACATACACTCCACAGGACAGAGAGCTCACCCACTCGCTGAGCTGTGGTGATGCGTTTTCTTACTTGAAGACCTCAGAGGGTAGCACCATGTCTCTGTCATTCACCTCTGGACACCCAGCATCTCCTTAAAGAGGGTCAGGTTCATATGTATGTGAGATGATGACGCCCCCAACCCCCGCCCAGAGCCTGTGGGATTCAGATCATTCCCCTCCTCCCCACTGAGGCCATACACAGCAAGCCTTCTGCTTCTGGCTCCCAGGCCTCCTCAGAGGCAGAAAGGATCTGGTCATGGGATGGGAGAGAGAGGACCACCCACCCTCCTAAAAGGAAGCGTGCCTCTCACTCTTACCTGACATCATCGCAGGCCTAGCTCCTAGCTCCTCCCACACACAGACATCACAGGATGACTCTGGAAGACAGAAGAGCCAACCCCGGCACAGGAGAGGACCACACCCAAGCCCTGCTTTGGCCCAAGAGCCACCCTGCCTCCTCCTCCTTCCCTGCTACCCAGAGCATCCTTCACAAACATGGGCACATGGTGGTTTCCTTGGTGACCCAGGAAAACTCAGAGCAAGCTGGGCAGCTTAGGGACAGCCGAGAGGGGAGTCCTGACAGAGTAGGGGTCTGGAGCTCTGACCTCAGTACTACTGAGGTCACTGGAAGCCTATGCCTCTGTCTGGACCCAGGGACACATCCTGCCCTGTCACACAAGGGCCACTCAAGGCAGTGGCTTGGAAAAGAAAGCAGCTCTTCTAATCATCTTAGTCCCCACCCTTTCGTGACTCCCACAGCAGAGAACATGTCTGGAGCCAGAGGGCGGGAGGTACAGGGCTCAGCCAGGGCACTGTAAGTCACCAGGATGGAGGAGATGCCCCGAATCTCAAGCCAGCACTCAGATTTGCTCTTTCCTGTCAATTATACTACATCTGTCCCCCAGAGCCTGAGTCAGGGAAGGGGAGGACGCTCTTAGAGCCGGCTGTCACAGGAGCCTGGAGCTGAGTGGAGACAGTGTGTCCCGTGGGAAACCCTGCAGAAGGTCTCCGTGTGTCTGCAAGACCAAGGAGTCTGTCCAAGTTTACAAATGCCACCCTCAAGAGCCAGACATCCACCCTCCCTCTTGGGGGTTCCAGAGCCAACCCCCCTTCACAGGTGCACCAGCAGAAAGCAGGCTGGTGCAGAGGGGGCTGGTGAAGGGATACTTATCTGCAAGGCTGCTTCGCAGGGTGGCTGTGGCCCTTCCCAATCCCCTACTCTCTTCTGAGACCTGGGAACCAGCAGGAACTCTGCAAATAAACCCACAGCGACCCTGTCACAGGGTGCAGACCCAGAATCCCGGTCATTGTGGGGACAGTGGAGTTTTCCAGGGAACCCCAGCTCCTGGGTCAGTCAGGGTGACTGGGTCTCATAGCATAGAAAGGAAGCCATAGGTTTGGAAGCCAGAGAAAAAACAGGATGAGGCTATGGCTCTCCAATCCCACATTCACAATGTGTGACTCTGAGCTCTTATTCAGGAAGCTTAGCCAGGATTATTACCAGTCAGTGACTTACATTCAGAAATACAGAGCATGGCCCCTCAGCCTTGAGAATAAATGCAGAAACACATAGTGGCACCCACTGGGCAGTAAAAAGGAGTTAGATATTGATATACCCAGGACAAACCACGCAGGCCCTGCTAAGAAAAGACAGGTCCAAGCTGTATGTGGTAGCACCCTCCTGGAATCCCAGCATTTGAGAGGCTGAGACAGGAGGGTCATGAGTTCAAAGCCAGCCTGGGCTGAATAATGAGTCTCTCTCTCTCTCTCTCTCTCTCTCTCTCTCTCTCTCTCTCTCTCTCTCTCGCTCAATAATTAAAAATAAAAACTAAGAAGATGGATAGTGGAGATAGCCAAATTTATACAAAATGCCCATAGAAGGGAAATGGGGATGACAGAACGTAGGTTATTGCTCGCCATGGCCCGGTATGGAATGGGAATGGGTTCCCAGGTTTCGGGGATCTGACTAGGCCAATGGACCTGTGATGATGTCACTAATCACAGCTGCAAGACTTGGTAACTGTGATCAAGAACTCTGGGCTGGCTGGGTGGTGGTGGCGCACACCTTTAATCTCAATACTTGGGAGGCAGAGGCAGGTGGATCTCTGTGAGTTGGAGGCCAACTGGTCTATAAAATGAATTCCAGGACAGCCAGAGCTACAGAGAAACCCTGTCTCAAAAAAAAAAAAATCTCTGGGGTGCATCCCTGAAACAGAAAGTGCTGCACTGTGATAAAGCTGGACAAAAGAGGAAGGGGGGGTGGTACTTTGGGGGGGGGTACTTAGCAGCACAAAGCCTGATGTGCAAGGGGGTCACAGTCACCGGCCCTCTGAAGGCTGAGCCTAGGAGCAGACGCGTGGGCAAGGGACACACAGGGGTTTCTTTTGCTTTTTATTTCTTTTGGTTTTTTATTTTTAGCTTCCTAAAATTTTTGTGTTTGAGTGTTTTGCCCGAATGCATGTCTGTGCACCACATGTGTGCAGTATCTGAGAAGGTTGGAAGAGGGGGGGTCAGATGCCCTGAAACTGGAGTTACACACAGCTGTGAGCCACTATTTGGGTGCTGCAAACCAAACCTGGGCACTCAGCCAGAGTGGCCAGTGCTCTGAACCCCTAAGCCATCTCTCCAGCCCCCATTTTTGATTTCTCAGACTCTCAAATAGCCCAGGCTGGCTCCAAACTCACTGTGCAGCCAGAGTTAACTCTGAACTTCTGATCTTCCTATGTCCACTTCCCAAGTGCTGCGATTATAGGTCTGTGCTACCACATCTGGTTCATGCTGTGCCGGGGCTCAAATCCAGGGCTTCATGAATGGTAGCTAAGCACTCTGCCTGCCCCAAACCCATTATTTTGTACACCAATTTAAAAAAAAAAAAAAAAAACAAGCTAATTGCACCTCTATGGCATTATTTTCTACAAAAGATATTCATGCATTACAGAAGAATTGGAGCTGAGAAGTTCATGTCAAAGGCTGTGTGGACTGTGGACCTGGCTCGTGGCTCTGCCCCTCACACACCAAAAGCCAAGATGAGGAGCCCCCATGGAAGGTTTAACAAAGGACTAGTACCCAGAAGACATAGGTCTCTCCTACCTTGAGGTTCAGAAGGCTCAGTCCCCGTGAGCATCAAGACAGAGCCAAGTGGATGAAGCTGTTGGCCTCTGCCACCCGCATCCACGCAGATGAAAACTTGCTTCGTCCCCAGGTGCCACCGAGACCCGGCAGCCATGTGCATGTGAACAGACAGGCCTCACAGCTATCATACACAGAGACGACAGACAGACAGACAGACAGGAATGAAGAGTGGGTATACGCTGGACACACTGGAGAGCCATACCAGCGCTGGCCACACCACCACAACCCTCAGAGAGAGGGGAAGAGCATGGATGGTACACCAAAACTTCCATGCAAGAACCACAGAACCCAGAGCAAATCCATCATTACTTGGTGCTTTGGATTTGTGTCTCTCCTCTCTCTCTCTCTCTCTCTCTCTCTCTCTCTCTCTCTCTCTCTCTCTCT